CAGGATTGGAAGTGGAACAGCTGGGACCCAAACTGGTGCCCATATGGGATGCTGGTACTGCATGTTGGGGCTTTAACCTGCTGTGCCACAGTGCCAGCCCTAGAGTTCCAGTTTTGCCAGATGAAAAAGCTCTAGAGATTTGTTTTACGACAATGTGAATTTACCTAACAGTACTGAGTTTTACATTTAAAAATGGTTATGATAGTTAATTTCATATTATGTTTTTTTGCCACAATAAAAATAATCTTGCAATGGCATGCTATAGAGGGAATCATAATATAAAAGGCAAAGCACCCATACTTTAATCCAGTCTCCTCCAAACCTTTCAGTACAACTTTTCTTTAAAATTATCTCCTATTTGCTGTGTTTCCCTCCATCATTCCAAAGATAGTGGTAGTGATTGCATCACATTTGTGGTAGTACATATTTAGATCCTTGTAGTAATTTAAAATAATAAATTATATTCCAGGTAAAAAATGTATTTAAGTGGAAACTTGAACCCTAAGAGGAGAAAAGTATTCTTTAATTACTACCACAAATACAATTAGATGGAAATAAAATCTACTTCTACAAAATTGTATAAAATCATAGTATGAAGACTTAAGAACTAATGATTGTGAAGAGTCAGAAGCAGTTTCTAAGTTGAATTGGGTTAATAGACAAAAGGGTAGCAGGATTGAACATAATTACCTGGCATTCAATGAATCATTTGACAAAGGTTTTTAAAATGGACAAATAGGGCTTCTGTGTATTCTAAATATAGAAGGAAATTTATGCTTTGAGCTGAAATCATATATATATATACACACATACATATAAAACATTCTATATATATATATAAAACACTTTTTCAAAGCACAGAATGGAAGCAGTCAAGGACAGTAATCCTGAAAGACAGGAAACAGAAAGTGGTGATTGCCCCAGCTGACTGTCCTGATAAGAGTTTCAGGTCATAGCACAAGGAAGGGAGACCTAAAACAGAGCCCAGCAGACACCCTGAGGACATAGAGTTTTGAGTGTGGGGGAACTAAGAGTTTGAAGGCCAGTTCCTGAGAGAAGAGAACTTCTCTTCACAGAGGAAGAGTATTCAGTAGAGTACCGAGGAACTTACTTCAAGGGAAGCAAGGGATCTGAGGATTAGTGGGAACCATTTCTGGTACTTATACAGAGCCAGGAACAGTGCCTGTTACCAGCAGCCTGACTAGAAAAATTCATAATTCAGGGGACTCTGTAGAGTCCTTAGGAAGGCCTGTTTCAGCAGTGGGAGATAACCCACTGTTTGGATCTGTGACAGACTGTGAAAGCACGACCTGAAAGGATGAAACTTTGTAAGTAACCCAACTACATCCCTGAACAAAACTCCAGATTTATAGAACTACTGAAATATCCAGCACCAACAAGGTAAAATTCATAGTATCTGGCATCCAAAGATTACCATATATGCAGACAGGCAGGAAAATATGACCAATAATGAGAAGAATCAATTGAAACCAACTTAGAACTGGTATAGTTGTTAAAAATGCATACAATAACCATAATAGTTAATATAACTATGATCTGTAGAGACATGGAAGATATAAAATTGCAAATAAACTTCTTGAAACAAAAACTATAATGACTGAGTTAAAAATATACGAGGTGCAGTTAATAATGCATTAGACATTTCAGAAGTAAAAATTAATGAACTTGAAGCTATAGTGATAGAAACTATCCAAAATGAAAGAAGAGCAAACAAACAGAAGAATCCTATAAAAGTGAGCATCAGCGAGCTATGTTGTACTTGAATGGCCATCTGTGCTAATTACCTTTATCCAAAAGAAAAAATAAAACGTATTTATGACAAGGATGTAGTTACAACTTGGAGAAAGTTACCTGTGCCAGTCTTCCACAGTGATAGGGAGGTAGAGATGCATCTTCCTTGATGTTTGCATTTCAAAGATGTGGCTTCCACACCTGTGAGAAAAACATAGGTAGGCTATAAAGCTAGCAAGAGCCTTTCTTCGCTTTTTAAAAGATCTAAGGGACAATTACATGTTTTCTCCAGGTGGTAATCCTCAATAAAAGGGAAAGGAGAAAAGGTGTCTTTCCCTTTTAGCACCTGGAAGGACTTAATGTTTTTAAATTTTATGAAACTCAGAGCTCTGATGATGTTTTACTATTGAATTAGCTAACCCTTGTTATTATGTACCGCTGATCTCTGTTTTAGGAGATAAATCAGTTATGTTTGCAGTTTACATGTTCTGTATCCAATAGGCAGAATCATCCTACTTTATCTGACTCCTCAAGGTAAAGTGAATTCTCTCCAGCTCAATAGAGAACAAAGTGTAAATGATTGCAGCATACCAAAAATGTCAGCCTCCTCCAGTTTATCTTTAAAATGATGACTGTCCATATTCGAATCCATAATATACCCAGTTGGTTTCAGTATTCCCCCCCCCCCCAATACTTTAAGGTTTGTTTTTTTCCTCAGGCAGAGGAGACAAATCTTTTGGATGGATTAACAAATGTTTTATTCCATTGCCTGGTAATCAATCCGTTCCAAAAAACGTTAGATATCAGTATAACTTGAGTCTTTGCCTCTGTCTTCACATGGCCTTCTTCCTTGTGTGTTCCTGAGTCAGACTCTCCCTTTCCTTGCTCTTGCTAAGACATTAATTGTTGGTCCCAAAGCAGGATGATTTCATCTTAGTATCCTTAAATGAGTCACTACAAGTGCAAAGTCTCTATTTCCAAATAAGGTCATACTCTGAGGTTCCAGGTGGACATGAATGCTACTATAGTACTATTTAGATTCTGTTCTTTAAAGGTTTATTTCCAAGTGGTTATGATAGCACTTTCTGTTTGCTGAGACTTTTCTTATACATCCTCTTTCTTATTTTTCTAACATGTATTTATTTACATGAGGTACGTCCATAGCCTGCCCTATGGAAAGGAATCATTTTACAGGAATGTCAGTGTTATTGCTTTCCTTTTCACTCAGTCTTCCTTCAAGAAGTGATACGGTTAGCATCTGCCTGACAGCCTTTTTTTCTCCTTTTATTTTTCCTTTCCTTTTTTTGTGCCTGACCTTCTTGAGCCGGCATTTAATTTAGAGGCAAGGGCACCACGTGGAATTAAACAGAATGTAGGTCCCCTAGACATGTTTGCAGCCAGGACACCGAGAGTCTGTGCTTCTGTTTCCGTCTACTAATCAGACCAGGCAAAGTCCCCTGTGATGTCAAGGCAGGCCTGTCAGTTCTAACTCCTCTGCCTGCAACCTGGTGAATAAGTCAGAGCCAAACAGATCGCAAGTCTAATGGCAAGGAGTGAGATAATCCAACCTTAGCAGTCGAAAAGCTTATATGCAGTCCCCACTTACCTCATTGCTGTGTGTTTTTTGCTCTCATTCAGAGCTATAACAATAATCAGAAAGATATTAATGTACCTGTTTTCCCCCAGTTTGTTTGAATGATGGCATAGCATCATATAGTGAAAAATCTTTAATCTGCTAATTAACTCGCCAGATTCTTGCAACAGCCAGGGCTAGGCCACACAGAAACCAGGTGCATGAAACACCATCCAGGTCTCCCATAGGGGTGGCAGGAATTCAAGTACTTGAGCCATCATCTGCTTCCCCCTAGGGTGTGCATTAGCAGGAAGCTGGATCAGAAGGAGAGCTGACTTGGATCCAGGCACTCAAATCTGGAACGTGGATGTCCCAAGTAGGGTCTTAGCCTCTGTGCCAAACACCCACCCCAAAATGCCTGTTTTTGAAATGAGGAAATCCTTTGCTAAGTCCTTATAAGACTCAGCTAGTTATTGCTAAGACAGGAGTTAGGACTCAGATTTCCTGACTTTATGTGGCTTTTTGTGTTTCATTTTGAGAACCTCTAAACAGGATTTAGATTGGAATTTTTTCTGATATTACGGGTAAGAATCTTTTTGTGTTGACTGTATCATTTTAGCTTCTAAGTGAATTGTATTATTCTACTTTTCATTACTTTAATTAAAATACCTGAAAGAAGCTTCGTGAGACATAGAAGGTTTATATCAGCCTACAGTTTGAGGGTACAGGATTAGGTAGCCCCATATTCTAGTCTGGTGAAGGTTGGTCATGGCGAGTGCAAAGGAAGATCACATGGTAGGGCAAGAAACAGAGAGGGAGAGCCTAGACCAAACATGAATTCATATAATCAAACCTCTCACAAGACCTTCACTGACCTGAAGACATCCCACCAGCCCCACTTCTCAGACACCATCATTAGATCAAATCTCCACTCTTATCCAATCAACCATTCACGTTAAAACATCACAGTTTAAACATCTGCATGTGTTCTGGGAGACAAGTCCTCCTGGTACCCACAGCCTGACTACTGTGGCTTACAGTGCTCAGGGAGAGATCAGGATCCTTGCCTTCATACAGACAGTGCGATCACTCATTAAAAGTTATTGATACATTTTTAAACCTCCTGTAAGCGCATAATGTTTCTGAAAACTTTTTTAAAAATAGCTTGCCATACCTGCAGTAAGAACTGCAAAAACTAATTACTGATGTATTAGGAGTAGTGGTAATAAAGTCCTTACTGTGTCCAAATAGTACACTTATTCTCCTTCTTCAGTGTTAATTAATAAATGTGAGTTGATTAATAAATGTGAGCTAAGTTGCCAAAACATAAGGTTGATGTTATGTGTGATTTTTTGAAAGAATATCTTTGAAGAATTATCAAAGTTTGTTATATGCCATTTTATAGCATTGTTTTATGGGCTTTAGCTAGACATGTGGAGGTTTTTTTTTCTAAAAAACTTATTTCCACAAGTCAAGTTATGCATCTCATTAGACTTTCTTAGGCATATTCTAGAACACATTGCTTTGCATTTCAAATCTTTTGAGTTCATTTCTGTAGTGTGCTTTACATAGAGCAAACCAGAGTAAATTATTACTTTCCTCTGCCATTATAACTGAGCTCACTTGATCTTGTTGAATTCTAATTGAAGCTCATTTCTTCCTCTTGTGTTTTCAGGTATTTGTATCTGCTGTTCTCCAATGATGACCTTTTACCTTTAGACCATTGGGTATTTAACACAGAGGCACACCCTCTGCCTGTGTTACATTTAGCCAACACCACACTTTCAGGTAACCCTGCTGTTCGATGAAAGCAGCTCCAGAGGACCATTCTTACCTGTGTTTTGTTTACATGGACCACTACAGAAATTAGTCTGGAGAGGCGGCTTTTGAAAACCTGGACCTCAACACGACAGGGTGAAACTATTCCCTGGAAGACTTTCAACATGTAGATACATCAACTTTGAAATTATTCCATTTTATACTTGACCAAAATATGCTCTGGTACATGTAGGGCAGAGAGCTGATATGCTTTGATTCTGAAAACATGGTCACAAGAGAAATGAAGCCTATTACTATTACATTGTTTTTAGAGTCCTGAAGTCTAGAGACTAGACTTCCTAAGAGAAACGAAGACTGTATAGCACCTTGCAGGAGTCAGAGATGGCCTCTGGAACCACTTCCATGTTTGTTTCTTCCCTCAGGGGAGCAGCTTTCAAGTCAAATATATACACATTATTTTTCCCTTTTTTTCTCCATTTTAACAATGAAATGAACTAAGATGAACAAGAACAAAAGAACTATATAATTGGATTATCAGAAAGAAGACTCCAAAAAGAAACAGAAGTACCTATCCCTGTCTAAATGTTCAAGTTCTCCATTGGATGACCAGAGTGGCAATCATTTCAGATCCCAGTCTATTTCACTGAAATTCTTGATTAAATTCCATTTTCTCTGGGGGCATGATCTGGCAAATAATACTCTTCCAGTCTTTTTCGCCATGTGGAATCATTAAAACTACTGTTTATCATAACCACCATGAGCCTGGGTTTGGGGTTTTGTGCATGTAGTTCAGTCCAGTGTTGGTAGCATGACAAAAAAGTGGGGGAAGTGATGAGCTGGTTGCCTTGAACTCTGTTCTAAGAGAAGTCCTTGGTTTTGTTGGTAGGAAGTTTTTCTTCCAAACCGGCAAATCTACCAAGTAAATTTTACCTGCTTTAATCTCATAATAAAACTAGCAGATTCACTCAACTTACAACTTTATTTATTTCACTTGGCAAGATTCACTATTCTATCACATAGTTCTGAATTTGCCCTGATAATTCAAATTACTTTTATAATTTATTAAAGCAAAAACAGAACAATGAAGCTTCCTTAAATATTCTGTCTGGAATGGGGATAGGGGGTCCTTTTTCACACCAGATGAATGAGCTGTTCTTTGCTTTTTTAGTTTCTCCAAGAATATTTATAGAAATCCAAAGAGTTAATAGCTTCAAAATAATTTTCAGTGATAAAAGTATGGTATAATTAATCATGTTACACCAAATTGGGGTATATCAAAGGGACTTTCTTTTATCAGTAGTTTTTGCATTGATACTTCTTTTTAAATAAATTACTGGTTCTTTATATTTTGGTAGAAAGAACTTAAATTTTGTCAAGAACTGTAACATAAGCTAAATACCTAATACTTACAAATTTTATGTCTCTTAGATTTTTGTGACAATGCAAGACATTTTTTCTCCTTTCATTTAATATAAACAGTTTCCATTGACATTAATAAAAGTTGGAAAAAATCTGCTTAGTCCAACATTTACTCTGAATTTGAGTATTTCATGAAACGGATTTGTATAGGAAGCCCACTTAGGAATTCTGAAGGCTTCTTTCTTTATTTGATAGCTTCTCTTTTTAATCTTCTGTTAACAGGTAATATATTAAAATTGGAAAGAAATAGTAAGTTAATATAATTAAATATTTTCTAATGGTTATCATCTTATCCCATAAATCAATCCAGTCATTGATCCATAGTGATTGCCATTGTAGAATCTTTCAATAAGAATGGAGAGCAGTTAAGTCTTTAAGAGAATTGAATTTTAGTACGTTTTAAATTATAGCATCTTTTACTACTTGAAAATTAAAAAATTTTAAATGAAAGGTGTAGATAACGTTACCTTAGAAGAGAAACAGGAAGTTTTAGGCTCTCCAAAAAAAGTTAGCCTTCCTCCTAAAAATAGCACAAGCCCACTTATAAATCATCAATAAAGAGTGGAAAACTTGAGTTGGCAAAGACCCAGAGCAGCTGTGAAGATGGCAGTGAACCTTCTCTCACTTTGTTTAGAAGGATGTGGAGTTAGGGGCTATCTTAGCTCCCTGGGAAGAGAGCAGAACCCTTGCCCTCAAGTGCTCTGTCTGTATTACTTGGGTGACTAGAGCTTAAGAGAAGACACAGATTGTGTGTGTGTGTGTGTGTGTGTGTGTATGTGCACGTGCACATGCGCATGCACAAGACCAGTTCTGGTCCATGCAAGCGATCCAGGAGGGCCAGCGGAAGGGTCTTCTTCTCCAGTCCCTACCTTCTTTGTGATCATAAGACTACAGCTTATAGCATTGCTTCCATTTTTTTGTTCTCTTAATACCAAAGGCAATTAAAGTCGGCTACAGATGATTTGCCTGTGTCATATTTTATTTTTGCTATGGATTTTTAAATTATTTCCTCAAAGGTCAATCCTTATCCCATATTCTGCTTCATTTTCAGGATTATTCTTTACATCGTGCTGTCCTTCATATCCCTTCATAGACCTTATTACTCAGGTTAAATACTCATTGCATTTATAAGACCTTCAGCAGAGAGCCCAAAAATGCCCCTTGCCAGGTGCCTCCTCAAAGAGCTGACACCTCACCTTGCGCCTTTGGCACAAATATGCAGAGTAGATAGATCAATTGGTACAATAATGTTGAACACCCCTCTTCTACATTTATATCTCTTCATTTTAGAATCACACTGTTTGATTCAAACCAGGTTTGTTTATTTAATAATTCAGTCAGTATAAGATTTTTAAAATCAAGAGAATGGTATTCTAACCAAAAAGAGGCCTCGGTGCAGAAAAATAAGTCCCCCGTCAGTGAGTTCTTACTTTCTGGTGCTCTTTTGAACACCTACTTATTCTTACTTGTAGCAGATGCTTATATGTAAGAATAAAACCTGGATGTTGAAGAACTGCATTCTTTTTGTGCAGTGTTGACCCTGATTCTCTGTGATGTCATCTGGGGCAATCCAGGGCTTCACTTAGTAGATTTTAATCAGTCAGTTTGAAATTGTGATCATTAACCTTTCATCTTTACTCTCCATTGCCAAAGTCTTTGTCAAAACTATTGACAAAGGATTGTGCTTACCATTCTCCTTAGAATGCAGTTTCTCCTTCAGGCTGGATTTCTTTGAGTGCATGAGTAGGTGAGAGAATGAATGATCAGCATTTGTGGAGTACCTACCATGTGCCAAGCAATGTGCCTGGCACTTTGAAACATTAGAACATTCTATGAGATCCCAGTGGCATTTTCTGTGTGAGAGTAGTTCGTGCCATTTTCCAATATGAATATTATAAAATCCATAATTTTATATTTCATTTAAATTAAAGAGGAAAAGAATGATTTATAATATATTTTAAGCAATGTATTACTGTATAATACTAACAACTATAATTATAGTTAGTATCTAAAATCTCTTGAGAAATATCAAAGAAATATTTGATTTCTGATACAACTTTCACTAAAATATTTACTTTAGAAATAAAAGCATTCTTATTTTGCTATGTCACTTTAATTGCATAATTAAAATCAATATTTTATAGAAGTAATGATTATTTTATATTCAAAAGAGTCACATAATCATGGGTAAAACTTGCAGTTGTAAATTGTCTTTACATTTCTTAATATAAAGAAAAATATACTAAAATATTCTAAGTTCCAAGTAACAGTTTCTAGTAACAGTGTTTCAAATTATTTTTCCTTAGGTTTCCTTATTCTGAAATGGGCTAGCTCCTATCTTATCCACTCTTTACATAGGTATATACATAAATTAAGTAATATACAGTTTTTATACTGTCTTGTTACATAACACAGTTGGTGAATGATTTTGGCTGCAAAAATTATAGACAGAATATTTGAATAACCATATGTTATTGAAGATATTTTAATCCATTATTGGGGTTCAAGAACATTGGTGACAGTTTTCTGTGACTTCAGCTCATTCACATCATAAGGGTGCTGTTTAGTTCTACATCCAGTCAGAAGGCTTCTCTGTGAAGGGCCAGATAAACATATTTAAGCTATGGGAGTCATGCGATGTCTTTTACTGCTCGATTCTGCTGAAGCACGAAAGCAGCTTCAGATCATATGTAAATGAGTGGGTGTAAGTGTGATCCAATAAAACTTTATTTACAAAACTCATGGAGGGCTAGTTTGGGCTCCTTGGATCATAGTTGCTGATTCCAATCCCAAGTTCCAGTTTCGTATGACCTTCTAAGTTTGGGTTTGCATTTTCCCTTTGTGCTTTGATTTTTATAATTCATTTTTAAGAGCAAGAAGATATGTGTGTGTTTGTATTTATGTAACCTCAAGCTTTATATTTTATGGTGTTTTAAGTAGATACACTCCTTTGGAATCTGTTAATGTTTCAAGATGACCTGACTCAACGATAGAGACAAAAAATTGCAGGGGACAGGGAGGATATGCTCTCAATCATTATCCTCTCCTTGTCATTGAATGCCTATATTTCTGATTCTCCATGTACAAAGAAGAGTTTTGTGATGTCAGAATATTACATTCTTTGCGAGTTCTGCCTGCTTACTGCCCCCTGAATGAGGACTCTAGATTGCAGGAGCTACAGAAATTCATCTACTTGTGTACTCTTAGAGCTCTCTGACAAGAATTGGTAGAATTCCTGACCTCAATGCTGCAGAAACCAATCTTTTGAAAGATTCTAAGCAACAGAAAATGGGGTATGTGCCCATTTGCCATTTGGCTGTCACCGTTTCTCCACTGCAGAGGGTGCTGCCCCTCTTACTCTAGAACAGTGTGGATCAGAAGTTCAGAGAACATATCCATCCAAGAGGTGTGTTCCCTTCCTCTGTCCTCACAGGGCACTCAGTACCTTTAGAGTCAGTAGCATTATTTCAGAATGTTACTGTGCATCATTTTAGAGCATCCTTTGGCCTCAGTGTTACACTTCCAATATTTAACAACTAATTCATTTCAAACTTGGTTTGAGCCCCAGTAACTACAGAACTCAGAAAATTTCTCATGAAATCATACAAACCATATTACTATATATGCATTACAATGGACCGGTCATTCTGATAGATAATATATGTCTCACTAAAGAAGTATATCAAATAGTTCACTATTTTTGGAAGCGCTAGGAGATAGGAGGCCTGTGTTCAGAATGCCAGAGATTTGCTATGTCTCCTCTCCTACACAAATGAGCCACCCTTCTGAGTCCAACATACTATAAGGTCACCTCAGCTCGCTGTGAATGTGAGTTTGGGTACTCACACACATACACCCACTTGCATACATATATACATACGTGCATATGTACATCCATATTAGTTTGCAGAGGACTTTAAACAGTTGCAAATATCTTGCAGCTATTTGAATGATACAGTCTTGTACTGCAAATTGCATACCAGAATACTTCTTGAAGATAAGCTAAGCTCTTTGTGGGAAAGTATTTTTTTAGAAAGTTTAGAAATTAGTTTTTGCTAGGTTAATTAAATAAAGTGTCCCAATTTTAATTATTGGATTTGGAAGTTCAAATGCCATTCTTCAGCCTCACTGGTCTCAAATTCACCAAAATTTTTTCCTTAAACTAATAAGTGAGGTATATACAGCATTTTAAATTAGAACCCACTGGCTACCCCTAAATTGGTTTTCAGTCATGTCCTCCATAATGCGATTTTTATAAATTAAAGGTAATATTGTATAATAAAGGTCAAATAAAGATGTTCTTTTAAGTGAAAATAAATGTTTGTCCTTCATTTTTGCCTGCTGATAACAATCCTATCTTCCTATTTATGAAAAAGCAATTTCAGTAGCTGTAGTCTTCAGCCTCTCGTATTCAGAAAGTGTTTCTTTGGGTTCAGCTTATGTTTGCTTTCCTTGATGTTCTACAAAGATGGAGAAGAGATTTCTTAGAAGGTAATTTTTATCCCAACTGATATTAAAGAAGCCATCCACAGATCTATGTGGCAATGTAATGGTACAGTGTGTGTTATCTGTAAGATCTGGTCTTGTACAACTTTTGAGATAATCAAGCCTAAAAATTACTTCAGTCACCAGACTTCATTCCAACACATTGAAATATTATTTGACTCTGTTTAATACAGGCCTAAGAGACTTGAGGAATAGCGTCACCTGGAGTGTAAGTGGTGGTTTAGTCTATCAGTTGTGTAAACGCATGGAACAGTTAAAACCCTGTACTATGAGGCATCAAATAAGGTTAATGATAAAACCTGAAGAAGCAGCAAGTTTACACCCATGAGGTCTAACAGTGGTTTCAACATCAATATTTTAGGCTAGAAAATAACATTGTGGCTATACAAAATTAATTATGGAGTTACATTTTCGAAAGCAGCTAAAACAAGACCAGTTAAAAATTGGTCAAAGCTGGACCTCTGTCTGCCAGACACCTGAAATTTCCATCATCATTTCACTTGGTTAAAAAGGAGATCTCAATACATAAATGTATTCATATTAAGAATGGGTTTAGCTCTAAGCAAATTGGGTATAGAAGGAACATTCCTCAACACAAGGCAATTTATGACAAACCCACGGCCAAGGTCATATTGAATGGGGAAAAGTTGGAAGCATTCTCACTGAGATCCAGAAACAGACAAGGATGTCCACTCTCACCATTGCTATTCAGTATAGTCTTGGAAGTTTTAGCCAGAGCCATTAGGCAAATGGCTAAATTCTTCTCCGATCTAGAAAAAATGATGCTGAAATTCATATGGAGGCACAGGAGACCTCGAATAGCTAAAGCAATCTTGTACAATAAAAACCAGAGGCATCACAATACCAAATTTCAAGACATCCCTGGTACTGGTACAAAAATGGATAGTCCACTGGAGCAGCATAGAAACACTAGAAATCAATCCAAACATCTACAACCAACTTATATTTGACCAAGGAGCTAAAACCAACCCCTGGAGCAAGGACAGACTTCAACAAAAAGAAATCAAAGGAATAAAAATTGGGAAGGAGGAAGTCAGACTATCCCTATTTGCAAATGATGTGATTCTATATGTAGGGGATCCAAAAGACTCCTCCAAGAGACTATTGGAAATCATAGAAGAGTTTGGTAAAGTAGCAGGACATAAAGTGAGTACACAAAAATCAACAGCCTTTGTATACAGAGACAATGTCAAGGCTGAAATTGAGCTTCTAAGGTCAATCCCATTCACAATAGCTACAAAAAAAAAAAAAATACCTTGGAATAAATTTAACCAAGGGTGTCAAAGATCTCTATAATGAGAATTACAAAACATTAAAGAAAGAAAATACAAAAAAATGGAAAAATCTTCCATGTTCATTGTTTGGAAGAATCAATATCATTAAAATGTCCATTCTTCCAAAAGCAATTTACACATTCAGTGTGATACCAATCAAAATACCAGACATTCTTCTCAGATCTAGAAAAAATGATGCTGAAATTCATATGGAGGCACAGGAGACCTCGAATAGCTAAAGCAATCTTGTACAATAAAAACCAGAGGCATCACAATACCAAATTTCAAGACATCCCTGGTACTGGTACAAAAATGGATAGTCCACTGGAGCAGCATAGAAACACCAGAAATCAATCCAAACATCTACAACCAACTTATATTTGACCAAGGAGCTAAAACCAACCCCTGGAGCAAGGACAGACTTCAACAAATGGTGCTGGGAAAACTGGATTTCCACATGCAGAAGTATGAAGCAAGACCCCTACCTTACACAAAAATCCACTCAACATGGATTAAAGATCTAAATCTATGACCCAACACCATCAAAGTAATTGAGAACATTGGAGAAACCCTGCAAGACACTGGCACAGGCAAAGAGTTCTTGGAAAAGACCCTAGAGGAACAGGCAGTTAAAGCCAAAATTAATAAATGGGATTACATCAAATTGAGAAGTTTCTGTACAGCAAAAGAAACACTCAGGAAAGTGAAGAGGCACCAACAGAATGGGAGAAATTATTTGCCAACTTTGCAACTTATAAAGGATTAGTAACCAGAATCTACAAAGAGATCAAGAAACTCCACAATAACAAACAACCCAGGTAAGAGATGGGCAAAGTACTTAAGCAGATATTTTTCAAAAGAGGAAATCCAAATGGCCAACAGACACATTAAAAAATGTGCAGGACCACTAGCTGTCAGGGAAATGCAAATCAAAACCACAATGAGGTTTTACCCTAATCCACTGTTGGTGAGAATGTAAACTGGTAAAGCCACTATGGAAGTATGGAGATGCCTCAAAAATATGAATATAGACCTACCATATGACCCAGCTATCCCACTCCTGGGAATTTACCCAAGGGAAATGGAATCAATAAACAATAGAGTTATCTGCACCTCCATGTTTATTGCAGCTCAATTCACAATAACTAAGATGTGGAATTAACCTAAATGCCTGTCAACCGAAGACTAGATAAAGAAATTATGAGATATGTACATTATGGAATACACACAGGTAAAAAAAATGAAAGTGGTCATTTGCAACAAAATGATGAATCTGGAAAACATCATACTTGTGAAATAAGCCAGACCCCAAAGGACAAACAGCATATGTTCTCCCTTATCTGTGAGAACTAACAAAGCACCTAAAATGAAATCTGTAGAAGTGAAGTTGACACTTCAAGAAGGAATGACTTGAGCTGCCATTGTCTTGACTGTTGAGGAACAGTTCCATTTTTTTTTTTCATTTTTTTCCTCATAAGTGTATAAAGTCAATTGAAAATAGGTGTCAGTAAAAAGAGAAGGAATAAGAGGAGGAAGAAGTTTGTAACTGTAAAACTGTATAGTTCTGCATAAACTTGTCATGGGACTCCAAATCCCATTAAGCTTGGTGATAAAAATGCCATCTTAATTGTTAAAGTTATCATATTAAGTGTTAAAGTGAATGTATAGATAGGATTAAGTGTTAAGCTTATCATGTAAATAGGATCAAGTATCTGGTAATAATAATAGAATTAAAAAGGAGAGCATTCCAAGTTGGGAAGCAGTCCACACTGCAGACAGAATGACAATCGCTTTAAGTAACACTCTGACTCAGAATCAACCCTTAAGACTTGCTGGTCTGCCTGAAAAGCCTGTGAGAGCATTTCAGGCATGGAAAGCCAAGATACTGTGGCAAAAAATGTTCTACATGAAGGATCTCTGAGACACCAGTGCAAAGAAGTGACCATTAAAGAAGGATGTACTTTCCTCTAAAGGGAGGAGAGAACTTCTACTTTGCTAATGGCCTTGTCCAAATACTGACAAGTTTGTGGACTCAAAAGTCTTCCATAGCCTAGGCAGCTCATTTCAAAAGCCTCGGGTGATCACTAACATACTTAAGAGTATTTATTGTTAAATTAACAACAGGAGTCATTGTGCACTAACTCCTCATGCAGGACCTTTGTCATCAATGAGTTATATTGAGAGTTAACAGTAAAACCAGTTCTCAAAGAGTTTGTGTGTGTGTGTATGCGCGTGCATGCACAAATTGTTGAAATCTTTACTTAGTATAGAGTTGGTCTTTTGTGTACAAAGTTAATTGAAAATGAATCTTAATGGATAATGGTACTGGCAAGGGGAGAGGAAGGTAGAGGAAGGGTGAGAGTATGGATGTGAGGGCTGGGTGTGGTGGGAAGAATAACCATATTCCTAAAGTTGCACTTATGAAATTTGTATTCCTTAAAAAATAAAAACAAGAACGGGTTTGGGTGATTGGGCATGTATCTTGCTGGTTGACCCAACCCACATTTCTTTTATTATTTTTTTATTGTGGTAAAATACAGTTATCTGTATGTATCCATGGAGGATTGGTTTCAGAATCCCACCCTCTGCCATGTTAAAATCCAAGCCCCATATATAAAATAGCACAGCATTTATAAATAACCTACAGGCATCCTGCTTTAAGTCATCTCTAGGTTATTTGTAATACAATGTAAATGCCATGTGAGTGGTTGTTGCACTGGATTGAGTAGGGAATCTAGAAGGCAGCAACAAAACCTTTGTGTGTTCAGTACAGATATAATTGTTTCTTAGATATTTTCCATCCAAGGTTGATTGAGTTCTCAGATGTAGAACCCATGCATATGAAAGGCCAACTGTATGTATAACATAAAATTTGCTATTTTGTGTACAACTGGTTTATTGTACAACTCTGTGACAATAATATATGTATAATATTGTATGAATTGCCAATCTATATTTGCAAAACTTTTTCATCATGCCAAGCAGAAATTTCTGTAACCATTAAGCAATGACTCCTCATTCCTACCCATAGCCTCTGATAACTTTTAATTTTTTTTTTGACTAATTTCTTAATGCTACTAGGTCAGTTTTCTTACCTTTTAAAAGGGGGTAATAAAGGATTCTTAGGAGAATTAAATAAGGAAAATCCATGCATGTAGTTCAAATTAAGCTCATTTTAGTTGTTTCTAGTCATTTTTTGTTAGCAGACTGAATAATCATTCATGAAAGAATAGGAAAAATGTAATAAATGGGGAAGGGCAGTTAGAACAGGACAGTGAAGAGCATAGAAGACCCGCTGGTTCTGCGTCATTTCTGCATGGGGAGACACTCACAGAGAGATAAAACTAAGGGTTTAGGTTGATTGTAAGATGGCCTTTCAGTTTTGTCATCCATCGTTTTATGAAATCAGATGTGCGTAGTTTTGTTATTAAAATATTTTATGAAACAAATGCATTGGTAATATATACGAACTAAGCAATTTAAAAGTTATTACAAGTCACTTTTTGTTAGACACATAGCAAACAAAGTTA